GTGAATGTTGCTACCTCCTTCTTTCAGGGTCTCTGTTCAAATCTTACCTAACCACTGATGCTTTCTACAGCCACCCTGTATAAATAGTATCCACTGCACTCTTCCCTCATTTTCTTTGTATTTTTATTAGAATTATTTTCTTTTATGATATGTAATATTTTACATATTATGGAGTACATATAAGTATTTGTTATATGCATAGAATGTGTAATGGTCAAGTCAGGGTATTTGGGATGTCCATAACCTTGAGTATTTATCATTTCTGTATGTTGATAACATGATAACATTTCAAGTTTTCCTTCCTAGCTACTTTGAAATGTACAATATATTGTAGCTAACTATAGTCATCCTAGTTTGCTATTGTTAGAACTTTTTTTTTTTTCCAGACAGAGTCTCACTTTTTCACCCTTGGTAGAGTGCCATGGCCTCATAGCTCCTAGCAATCTCAAACTCCTGGGCTCAAGTTGTTCTCTTTCTTTAGCCTCCCGAGTAGCTGGAACTACAGGTGTCCACCGTAACACCCAGCTGCTTTTAGAGATGGGGTCTCACTCTTGCTCAGGCTGGTCTGGAACCTGTGGTGGGCAGTCTACCCACCTTGGCCTCCCAGAGTGTGAAGATTATAGACTTGAGCCACCATATCTGGTCTTATCTCAGCTTATTCTTTTCTTAAAGAGCTTTATTGAGATATTATTGGCATACCATACAATTTGCTCATTTAAAGTTCAGGGTGGCGCCTGTGGTTCAGTGGGTAGGGTGCCGGCCTCATATACCAAGTTCAAACCCTTTCCTGGCCAAATTGCAACAAAAAAATAGCTGGGCATTGTGGTGGGTGCCTATAGTCCCAGTTCGTTGGGAGGCTGAGGCAAGAGAATTGCCTAAGCCCAGGAGTTGGAGGTTGCTGTGATCTGTGGTGCCATGGCACTCTACTGAGGGTGATCAGGTGAGATTCTGACTCTAAAAACAAATAAACAAAGAATTATACAGTTCAGTGGGGTTTTTTTTTGTTGTTTGTTTTTTTAGAGACAGAGTCTCACTTTATTGCCCTTGGTAGTGTGCCATGGCAGCATCAGACTACTCACAGCAATCTCCAACTCCTGGGCTTAGGTGATTCTCTTGCCTCAGCCTCCCAAGTAGCTGGGATTACAGGTGCTCAGTACAACACCTGGCTATTTTTTTGTTGCAGTTTGGCTGAGGCCGGGTTTGAACCCGCCACCCTCGGTATATGGGGCTGGCACCCTACTCACTGAGCCACAGGCGCCACCCCAGTTCAGTGGTTTTTAGTATATTCATGCATTGCAATGATCACAATTATAGGACATTTCATTTCTTCAAAAAGAAACCCCCTACTTGTTAGCTATATTCCCTCATTTCCTGCCTCCTGCCAGCACTAAGCAAGTACTAATCTGCTTTCATTCTCTATAGATTTGTGTACTCTGGACATTTCCTATCAGTAAATCATACAGCATGTGGCCTCTTGTGTCTGGCTTCTTTCTCACAGCATAATGTTTTCAAGGTTCATTATAGTTGTAGCATTTATCAATACTGTATTTCATTTCTTTCTGTGGCTGAATAATATGTTCATTGTATGGGTTCTCAGTTTATTCTTCTTCCTTTTTTTTGGTTTTTGAGACAGAGTCTCACTTTGTCACCCCTGGTAGAGTGCTGTGGCATCATAGCTCACAGCAACCTCAGACTCTTGGGCTTAAGCAATTCTCTTGCCTCAGTCTCCCAAGTAGCTGGGACTATAGGCGCCCACCACAATGCCTGGCTATTTTTAGAGATGAAGTCTCACTCTAGCACCTGGCCTCTCTGTTTATTCTTAAAATAAACCTAAGAAATATCATCTTCATTTTGCAGATGAGGAATATGAGGTAAATAACTTGCCCAGGTCAGGGCGGCACCTGTGGTTCAGTGAGTAGGGTGCTGGCCCCATATACCAAGGTTGGCGGGTTCAAACCTGGCCCCAGCCAAACACAACAACAACAAGAAAAAAAATAGCCGGGCATTGTGGTGGGCTCCTGTTGTCCCAACTACTTGGGAGGCTGAGGCGGGAGAATCGCCTAAGCCCAGGAGCTGGAGGTTGCTGTGAGCTGTGTGACACCAAGGCACTCTACCAAAGGCAACAGAGTGAGACTCTGTCGTCCTAAAAGAAAAAGTTAGCCAGATGTGATGGCACACATCTTTAGTACCAGCTACCTGGGGGACTGAGGCAGTCACTGCAGTCCAGCCTGGGTGACTGTGAGACCCTGTCTCTAAAAAAAATTTAAAATTTATTTTGAAATGATTTCAGATTTACACAAAAGATACACGTCTCACTGCTGCAAAATATTTAATACTTGAGAGTATATTTCCTAAAAACAAGGACAATTGGTCACATAGCCATGGTATATCATCAGTTTACATTATAACAGCACTGTTACCAAATTCTTAGGCCCCTTTCAGATTGTTTCAGTAATGTCCTTTATAGCAAAAGACAAAACAATCAACACTCTTCTTTCCTTTCATCCCTTTCCGCATCATATTATCCAGGTGGTGCACTGTATTTCCTGTTAAGTCGTTACTGGCCTTTAGTCTGGATAGTTCTTTGCTGTCCTCCCCATCACCCCGTGACATTTTTGAGGAGTACATGCCAGTTAGTTGTGGAATGCCACTTATTGGGGATTTGTCTGATGATATTTGTCGAATTTTTCTACTGTGAAGTTCATTAGTGTGTTTTTTATTTATTAACAAGTAATTAATAAGCTTTTTGTGGGGAGGTGCTTTGGATTAATTGCTGTAAATATCCTGTCCTTCCTGCAATGTTTGCCTACTGATTTTAGGATCCATTAAGGATTCTTGCCTGAACTATTAATATGAAGAGTGCCAAATGTGATTTTCTAATTCCCTCTTTCATTCTACATTTATTATTTGTGATTGTACTGCCTTCTTGCTGGTGGGGACTCTGCGAAGTCCTAAAGTGGTACAGGGCAAGGGGGCCCATGAGAGATGGCCCAAGTGGCTTTTATAATAGACCCACTCTTTTGATAACAACCCAATGCCTCTATAACCCATTAATTCATGAATCTATTAATCTGTAAATGGAAAAATCTATTCATGAGGGCAGAATCCTCATGACCCAATCACCTCTCAAAGGTCTTGCTTCTTCCCAAGCAGAAGAGACTGACTTCAGTGATGAACTTGGCAGCCCCGTTGTGGAGGCTGATGGCTGCAGATCCTGCCTCTGTTCAAAGCAGGGCCATTGATGCCTGCTGCCTCCCCTTACCCGGAGTGATTCTCAGAGCCCTCTATCGTTCTCTCCCTAGCACTTATCATAACCATCATTAAATATTTAGTTGTAAAAAAAAAAAAAGGTCCTGCTTCTTAGTATTGTTACTATGGGGATTAAGTTTCAACATCAGTTTTAGAGGAGACAGGCATCCAAACCATAACATTGTTCTTTTGTGACTGGCTTATTTCACTTAGTATGTTTCCTTTTTAGGGGGAGTAGAGTCTCACTTTGTCACCCTCAATATAGTGCCATGACATCACAGCTTATAGCAACCTCAACTCTTTGGCCTCAAGAGATCCTCTTGCCTCAGCCTCCCCAGTAGGAGGAACTACAGGTGTCTGCCACAGTGCTCAGCTATTTTTTAGAGATTAGGTCTCACTTTTGCTCAGGCTGGTCTTGAACTCCTGAGCTCATGCAATTCACCTGCCTCGGCCTCCCAGAGTGCCAGGATTATAAATGTGAGCGACTGCACCCGGCCACTTAGTGTGCTTTCAAGGTTCATCCATGTTGTTTATTCATCCATTGGTGGACATTTGGTTTTCTTCTACCTGTGGCTTTTGTGAATAATGCTGCTGTGAACATGGGCAGTAGGGAAACATCTATTTGAATCTCTATTTTCAGTTATTTTGGGTATATACTTGGAAGTGAAATTTCTGGGTCATATGATAATTCCATGTTTAATTTTATGAGGAATATGAATTAGTTTTTTGGTTTTTGCTTTTTAGACAGAGTCTTACTATGTTCCCCTTGGTAGAGTGCTGTGGTGTCACAGCTCACAGCAACCTCAAACTCTTGGGCTTAATGTTTAGCAGGCACAGACCAGGCTCAAACCCACCACCTTCAGAGTATGTGGCTGGCCCATGAATTAGTTTTTTAAAAATTAATATCCGTATGGACTCTTGGTTTCCTGTTTTATTCAGTGTGTTCTAATCGATTAATAAAATTGCTTATTTTGAGGTACAAATTGCCTCTACTTTGGCCAGTGGTAAATCCTTCAAGTTGGCTCCTGTATCCTTTTGACATGTCCTTTTTGGAACTCTTTTTTTATCTTTACACAACAAGATGTTCCAACCTCATCCTCATCTTCTTACTCTTACTGCCCCAGCCCTGGAATTAGCCATTTCTCCAAGGAGCCCTGTTTGTTTTATTGTACTATGGTAGTTAGAAACCAAGATAAGGGTTTTTTAAGATGTGCTGATTGCTTCATTGCTTCCAAACCCCTTCAGAATAGGAAATGCAGGTATGTGTAATGTGTTCATAAACACACATACATTTAGACAGATATAGTCCAGTATTTTCATTTGCCTATCTGTGGATCTGTTTTATAGGTATATCAAAAATTAGAGTTTGCACTGATATATGTTTACTTATTTGTTAGGTAGTTGATTTATTTACTTATTTATTTTTGCTTAGTCTCGTTCCATGGGCTCAGTAGTCTGACCGTGTGGTCAGTTTTTTTGGCCCTAGCCCCATCAGTGCTCTATTGTAATACCTCCACCTTTGACCAGGTCCCCAGGTCCCCAGGCTCTGGTACCCACAGATCCCAGGCCCTACCAAGGGAAACAGGAGAGGAGTCACTGACCAAGGACAGGAGGGTAAAGGGACAAGGGAGGTCTCAATTTGTATTTCTATTAATTATTCCCCTTTGTAAGGCATCTTAGCTGTGTTGTTGTGGAAAGTAGTGCTGACAGAGTCTTTTGTTTTTCATCTTTTTCTCTCTTTGTTTTTAAAGATGGTTTCACCCAAATATCACTGGCGTGGAGGCAGAAAACCTACTGTTGACAAGAGGAGTTGATGGCAGTTTTTTGGCAAGGCCCAGTAAAAGTAACCCTGGAGACTTTACACTTTCTGTTAGGTAAGTTGGAATTAAAAGAGAGAATCCTGAGCATGTTTTCCAGGCAGGAAATGGTAACACGTAACACAACAACTTGGACAACTTTCTACTCTGACGAAGAGTTTGAAGGCCTGCCTTGCTGCTGTGTTGGGGTGTGGACTCCTCAGAGTGAGAGGCTTGGGCATTGAGCCGAACGGGCGTAATGAAGGGCATTTCTTCTCCCCTGGGGACCCCACTGAGGGTGTGCTGGGGCAGGCCATGGAGTTCTTTTTTTTTTTGAGACAGCCTCAAGCTGTCCCCCTGGGTAGAGTGCCATCACAGCTCACAACAACCTCCAACTCCTGGGCTCAAGCGAGTCTCCTGCCTCAGCCTTCTAAGTAGCTGGGACCACAGGCACCCGCCACAACACCCGACTATTTTTTTTTGGTTGCATCCATCGTTGTTTGGCGGTTTGGGCTGGATTCAAACCCGCCACCTTAGGTGTATGTGGCTGGTGCTTTAGCCACTTGAGCCACAGGTGCGGAGCCAGGCCATGGAGTTCTTAAGCCCTCTAGGTAGGGTGACCAGATTCTAACAACTGTAAGGTGGGACAACATGGGGGTGGAGAGCAGAGTGGGGGCGGAGCGGGCGCAGGGCAGGGCCTGACAACAAGGCAAATTGATAAGCAGTTCTCGATAATCACTTCTCAGCAATTATTTATTACAGTTTAACATTGTAAAATTAACAAAAATAATGTAAAACTCATATTCTGGCGAAATAGCCATATGGCGCCGAAAACTGTATATTCCCTTCTTGTTCTCCAGCCCGTTCATGCATCTTTCCAAAAATCGGGACTTTTTTAAAACGCCGCGGGTCGCAGGACAAATTGTTGAAAAGCGGGACTGTCCTGCCAAAATCGGAATGTCTGGTCACCCTACCTCTAGGGCTCTATCCTGGTTCCATACATCTTTTTTTTTTTTTTTTTTTGAGACGGAGCCTCAAGCTATCCCCCTGGGTAGAGTGCCATGGCATCATGCTCACAGCAACCTCCAACTCCTGGGCTCAAGCGAGTCTCCTGCCTCAGCCTCCCAAGTAGCTGGAACTACAGGCGCCCGCCACAACGCCTGGCCATTTTTTGGTTGCAGCCGTCATTGTTGTTTGGTGGGCCCGGGCTGGATTCGAACCCGCCACCTTAGGTGTATGTGGCTGGCGCCTTAGCTGCTTGAGCCACAGGCGCCGAGCTATTCCATACATCTTGAACCTAGGTCTGACATTTCTCCATGTATTTCTTTTCTTTTTTTTTTTTTGAGACAGAGTCTCACTTTATCGCCCTTGGTAGAGTACAACACTGGTGTCATAGCTCACAGCAACCCTAAACTCTTGGGCTTAAGCGATTCTCTTGCCTCAGCCTCCCGAGTAGCTGGGACTATAGACGCCAGCCACAATGCCCGGCTATTTTTAGAGATGTGGTCTCGCTCTTGCTCAGGCTGGGCTTTCTGTTATTTTCTTAATGGGAATAGTACTTTTTTAGGGTTCCTTCAGATCACTTTCCTTTGTCAAGAAATAAAACTTGACTGAGGAAGTTGTGGTCCCCTCTGTCTCCTTGCCTGGTTTCAGTCCCCGGAGGAAACCACCATCAAGAGATTGGCATGTATTCTTCCTAAACACGTTTTGATACTTATACTGCACATGAACAATAGAAAGTCTGTTTGTGTGTTTTTAAAATTTACGTAAATGGATTTATAAGGTATGTATCATTTTGCAATTTTCTTTTTAAAAGTCTGAGTTCTATACTGGTACGTAGAGATCTAATTATTAATTTTAGTGGCTATGTAATAGTCAAATGATATGAGCATGTTAGTTTATCCAGTCTCTTAGTGACAGTCATTGGGGTTTTTTGTGTGTGTTCTAAAGTTTTATGAACAGTATCGTGAGCATCCTGGGACATGTCTCTTTGAGCAGGTGTGGGAGAGTTTGTAGAAATAGACTGTCTCTTATTCTCCTTATAGTAGCTCATTCTAGGAGCTAGAAGTGAACTGCTTTATGAATTTGCTTTTATTAATACTACTATTATTTATTTGATTAGTTTTTATTTTTGTCTTACTCCTTAGAACCTATAAATTTAGTATTTTTAAATAAAGAGATAAATAAAACATATTTCTGAGAATTGATTTAGGATCTCTTTGAGACTTGGGAAGTTCCTTTTTTTTTTTTTTTGGCCGGGGCTGGGTTTGAACCCACCACCTCTGGTATATGGGGCTGGCACCCTACTCCTTTGAGCCACAGGTGCCGCCCCGGAAGTTCCTTTTTGACATAGATTATTTTCTTGGAGAAAAAGTCATTGGCTTTCACTTCCTTTTTACTACAAGGAGGTGGAAGCTTTCATACGTTTTCTGGGCTTGTTTCAGTACAGACTTCTAACCCAATGTCTTATCACATTTGTGCTGTTAAGAGTTTGGATGATCTACTGGCTTGGTGCCCATAGCACAGTGGTTATGGCGCCAGCCACATGCACCGACATTGGTGGGTTTGAACACGGCCTGGGCCAGTTAAACAATGACAACTGCAACAAAAAATAGCCGGGTGTTGTGGCTGGAGCCTGTAATTCCAGCTACTTGGGAGCTGAGGCAGGAGAATCGCTTGAGCCCAGGAGTTTGGGGTTGCTATGAGCTGTGACACCATGGCACGCTACCGAGGGTGATATAGGCAGGTGTGCTGAGCACTCTACACATTATTATTTTATTTAATTTTTACAATAGCCTGTGAATAAGTACCACTGTTATCTTCATTTTCTAGGTGTGGAAACTGTGGCACAGGGATTTAGTTAGTAAGCTAATCTCATAGCTAATAAGTTTCAGGGCCAGGAGTACAGAACAAATTATTCTTTTTCTTTTTTCCTTTCCCCTCAACTTTTTATTATTTTATTATTCCAATCCTATGGTACAAATATAGTTTTAGAACTACTTATACCATTTGCATTAATTAGAAACCTATTAGATAAAGTTCAAGATTTCTTAGGGAATCTTGTTCTTAAACTACTATCTCACTGAAAATTTAAAGTCAGTGCTCTGTTTAAAAGTTACTGGAATTGATTTTCTCTCTGTTTATGAACTTGGCAGGTTGATTTATTTCTTTCTGTTTCTAATCAGATTTTCTTTGGTTTTATTGATTTAATCTTTTTACATATAAAGTAGAATACAAAATATACTTCCTTGAAGTTTCTTTCTTTTTTTTTTTTTTAACTTACAGAAAACCTTTAGTGATCCTTCTGATCTCTTTTTGTCATTGTTGTTAGACAGGGTCTTGTTCAGTTGCCTAGAGCAGTGGCATTATCATAGTTCACTGTAACCTTAAACTTCTGGGCTCAAGCAATCCTCCTGCCTCAGCCTCCCAAATAGTTGGGACTATAGGCACACACAACCACATCCAGCTAAGTAAAGAAAAAATTTATTTTTTTGAGGGATAGGATCTCTCTTGTTGTCCAGGATGGTGTTGAACTCCTGAATTCAAGTGATTCTCCTGCCTTAGCTTCCCAAAATACTGGGGTTACAAGCGGGAGCCACTGTACTTGTCTGATTGTGTGTCTTTAAAATGAATTTTTTTTTTTTTTTGCAGTTTTTGGCTGGGTCTGGGTTTGAACCCGCCACCTCCAGTTTATCTGGCATCCCTCTCCTTTGAGTCACAGGCGCCGCCCATAACATCAATTCTTGAAAAAAAAATTTTGCTGCATAGTATTCCAATGTATGAGTATGACACTATTTATTTATACATTTTGTGATTAAAAAATAGTAAAATTTCTTTCTATTAAAAAAGGCTATAATGAATATGCTTGTAAAAGTATTTTGGTGGCTATATAATTTTACTTCTTTTGGGCAAAAAAGTGTGTTTAATTTTTTTTTTTTGAGACAGAGTGTGACTCTGTGTAGAGCGCTATGGTGTCACAGCTCACAGCAAACTCAAACTCTAGGGCTTAAGTGGTTCTCTTGCCTCAGCCTCCCACATAGCTGGGACTACAGGTGCCCACCACAATGCCTGGCTATATTTTGTTGCAGTTGCCATTGTTGTTTAGTTGGCCTGGGGTAGGTTCGAACCTACCACTGTCAGTGTATGTGGCCAGGACCTTACCCACTGAGCTATTGGTGCCACCAATTTTGATTTTAATTATATATGACCTTGGTCAGTTACTGATGAGAACAATTTTTTTTTTTTTTTTTTTTTTGAGACAGAGCCTCAAGCTGAGGCTATCGCCCTGGGTAGAATGCTGTGGCATCACAGCTCACAGCAACCTCTAACTCCTGGGCTTAAGCGATTCTCTTGCCTCAGCCTCCCAAGTAGCTGAGACTATAGGCTCCCCTCACAATGCCTGACTATTTTTATTTTCTTTTTTGAGACAGAGCCTTACTTTGTCACCCTTGGTAGAGTGCAGTGGCCTCACAGCTCACAGCAACCTCCAACTCCTGGGCTTAGGCGATTCTCTTGCCTCAGCCTCCCAAGTAGCTAGGACTATAGGTGCCTGCCACAACACCCGGCTATTTTTTGTTGCAGTTTGGCTGGGGCTGGGTTTGAACCTACCACCCTCAGTATATGGGGCTGGCGCCCTTCTCACTGAGCCACAAGTGCTGCCCCCAGCTATTTTTTGATTGTAGTTGTCATTGTTGTTTGGCAGTCCTGGGCTGGATTCAAACCTGCCAGGTCTGGTGTATGTGGCTGGTGCCTTAGCCGCTTGAGCTACAGGCTCTGGGCCAATGATGAGAACAATTATTATTACTTAATGTAAGTAATTTGGTAGGGCAGTCATTCAAAATAGAAGATATACAAGGTAAACTAATTGTCGTTATTTCACCCATTGTGGGAGGGGGTAGATTCAATCCTGTGGTTTTTTTCAACATTTAGGTGAAATCTGACATAGTGGAAAACAATCAGGTCCATTTTTACTGGTATAACTCTTTTATTTGTCTCCTCAATGGACTATTTTAGAAGAAATGGAGCTGTCACTCACATCAAGATCCAGAACACTGGTGATTACTATGACCTGTATGGTGGGGAGAAGTTTGCCACCTTGGCTGAGTTGGTCCAGTATTACATGGAACATCATGGGCAATTAAAAGAGAAGAATGGAGATGTTATTGAGCTCAAATATCCTCTGAATTGTGCAGATCCTACCTCTGAAAGGTCAGTGGCATTTTAGTGATCACCAAGTCTGCTCCTCTCCTGTGCTGTTTGTGTTACACAAATGCATTGTGGAGGTCTGTGTGTGACTGTGTGACTCCAAGGGCTTCTATCTGTTTTCTAAGCTGTCATCCTTCAAGTACAGTGTTATTAAAGTAAGAACAATAGCTTTGAATTATTCTTAGAGGACCCTTTTCTTGCACAAGCTTCAACCAGTGTTACTTACATTCATCCTTCAGGGATCTCTATACTGTTTCTGTATGTATTTGGTACATGTGTTAATTTTAAGATTTACTGAGCTTCAGCTGATAATCTTTGAGAGTTATTAGAGGAAGGCAAGTGATAATGGAGACACCAAAATAGCAGCAGTTCTCTGTGGTGGCTCCCAACCAGTTATTCAGCAGTGCCACCAACAGATGTCAGTTTGAGCTCAACAGTGGAAAAGCAGAGAACTCAGAGTATCAGCTTTTAGTGTTATATCCGCAGTTGTGTGAGAATGACCTTGCTAAGAGGGAATTGTATTATTTTAGCGATCTTTTCCCCTGCATTGGAACGAAGCTGATGAAAGCATGGGCTTGACTTTTTGTATTAATCGTATTTTTTTCTACATGCCAAGTCTCCTCTCTGACTTGGTACAAATTCAAGGTCTCTCAATTAGTTTGTGTATTTTCTATCTTTGGGTATGTTTTTTCAGCTTACACCTTTATGTCAGTGCTATTATGTGCTGATAATTTCTTTCTCCAGTGACCACTGTAGTTTCAAGCAAAAAGAAAAACTGTTACCCAACTCTGTGCAATTTATTTCTAAATTTTACTCCTTTCAGTTGAATGTGGATGAAAAATAACTCAAAAAATATATTCTTTTGGTAAGGAATCATTAGCATTACTTGCCATGATAGTGCTTGCTCTCTTACCATGAATAGAGGGAAAGAGCCACCTTTTTAATAGGACTGTGTGAAGGTGTTTTCCATTCTAACTTAGGGTAATATTTTCTCAAAGTCTGTCCTTGAATGACCTTGGACTGTCTACATCAGGACTGCCTGGTGAGCTGGTTAAAATGCAGAGTCCTGTGCCCCATTTAGACTAAATATATTGATTATCTCTGGTTGTGGGGTGTGGGAATTCATAGTTTTAGCACTCTCCCAATCCCTATGCTAAGTCTTATGTACACTAAAGGTTGGGGTGATAATCATCATATAGTCCAAAGACATTGGAGGCTGTTAAATATGGGTAATAAAGGTGGAAAAGTTTGGAATGCTTGAAATACTTTATAATAAAAATACTTTTAAGTGATAGGATTTATATATCAAAGCAATGACACTGAAAATGATTTTCTTTTTTTTTTTTTTTTTTTT